TATATATATATATATATATACACACACACATTTTAAACAGCACATGAATTATAATTGGCCTGCAAAAAAGATTCATTGATCCATTGTCATTTTTCTCACAAATGCCCCTCCCACTATCCCCCCACTATACCTCAACAAATCTTCAGTATATACTGTAATGTTCAGTAGTTATTCATCAAAACATTGTGCATGTTTACTGTGAAATCAACATCAGGAATGACAATTATCAAAGGCCAGTGCAGAGAGTTCACACAGTCTGGATGAGAGGACTGTTGAGTCACACTCTCTCTTCCAAACCAAACATTATAATGTCCATACAGCCCTACTGGTCTCCATGACAACAGGCAAAATCAGGAACAAAATTGGGACAGAATGTGATAATTAGTCAAAAGTTTAATAGCGCATGAATAGAACACAGACACAGATGCGTTCACACAGACATGGTACTGGCTTACTGAATTTAAACAAATATCAAATATCTATGATAACTTAAGAAAAATGTAATACTTCATTTTTGGGAACAAATGTCAAATTACATGAACTGTGTTGAAAAATATAATACATGTCAGCATCCATCCATCCAACCATTCTCCAAACTGCTTGCTCAACGGTCTGGCATGGGGATGCTGAAGCCTATCTAAAGGTACTGGATGACCAGTCCATCACAGAGCAAATATTACAGCACCTGGTATTCCCATACGGTCTCTAATTTTAACCAAACCAAAAATTCTTTAGCTTATGAGAATGTGCACATCCAGAACTGTACAGTCAAACTTTGCTAAATATGTGAGACCTAAAAATGAAAGCCACAAGTGTCCTGCAAAGAACTGCATGACATCCTCCATGACATCAACTCCAAGCCATTTCTTCATACCAAACTCACACAAAAATGCAGTTTTCACCATCTGTGTTGACAGTTCATTATTTATGTGATGAGCTTCAGTGTTGTAAAGTGAGGGGCCCAAATTAGGAAGAGCCACTCAAAACAATTCAACTCAAATAAATGCTGTTGATGTTGTAAGCAGGAAGCAGCCTCATTGTAAAACTTGATGCCACCATTAAGTATTTCCTTAGCCCGCAGAATAACACAGAACAACAATCAGAGAAAAACATAGCCTCTTAAAAGCAGATACTCACATCTATTCAAGAAGGTCTCGATGTTCTTATTTTTACGCAAGGCCGGAAAGTCCAAATCTAAAACCAGGGCATTCATGGAATCCTGAAACACAAAGACAAACACTTTGAGTAACGCATTAAAATAACGGTCTCCTTGCAAATAGCATTTATTCAAAGCGAACATGTCTGTGTTTTTCTTACACAACCTTTGAAAATTTGTGAAGCAAATTATCTAGTTTTTTTAGTCATTTCTAATTCCATTAATTTTTACAATACTTTTCATTAATGTCAACCTTTGTCAAAACCTGTTTGCCACCCATTTTTACCACATCATTATAAACGTAAACTTTTTTTTGGTGCCAATTTTCTGGCAAAAGTACTGCTGGCATCCTATACGATATAAAAGTCAATAAAGGTCCGATCAAATAAACTGCTACGAAAGGCCAGTGTAGAAGAATTGCTCTTAGAAGTATGATCTTAATTCATATCTTTCCTTAATTCTAAACATAATGTTTTAATGATAAAATCACATGTGCTCTGGATGCATGCATATAAACTTTTGTCACAACCACTCCACACAACAGAAAAATGTCAGAGAATCAGAACCAGTAAATAAAATGAGAAGCAATTCATGTAAATAATTGTAGCCAAGCAATTTAACAATTTAATCTAATCCCATCTGGTTTCTGTTTTGGAAATGTTTATTTGTCTGGGGGGGGGGAAACAAATGTTAAGCGATATCTCTTTTACTTAAACCCTGAGTGGAATGAGTTACAGGCATATTTCAAGGACAGGAAGTTTAATGGCTAGGCAGAACTTCCAGCCTGAAGAAATTAAGATTGATAAATCAGCAAGGCTTTACAGTCAGTAGATAATAAAAGAACATTCACTTCTCTTGATGAAGCGTGATCTGACAAGTCATTCATCATTTTTTTTTTATTACAGCCTTTGTTACCCAGAGCACACTTCACCTTTTTTGGGCATCTAGATGATGTTCTGCTCAGTAGATAATAAAAGAACATTCACTTCTCTTGATGAAGCGTGATCTGACAAGTCATTCATCATTTTTTTTTATTACAGCCTTTGTTACCCAGAGCACACTTCACCTTTTTTGGGCATCTAGATGATGTTCTGCCCTGAGGGAATGCAGCGTATAATGAACGGAAATGCATTTAAAACAATTAAGCAGACATTGAGGCCACCAGGCCCATGGATTTGTTCCTGCACATGCAGACTGAGGTGATGGCTGGCGGTTTCGGCACTGCTGCGCTTGTAAAGCGCTTTGAAGCAAGACCAGGTCTGTTGTGACCGACATACCAGGCATGGTCTCGCTGGAAACCCTTACCGGAAAAGCATTCAGAATGTCCAGCAGCCACACCTCTCCCCCTCCTCTCCCCTTTTCACTCCCTCTCCTGCCCTGCCTTCAACTTCCAAAAGTTCTCTACCCTTTACTGCACAATATGAAATCTTTATGGACACAAATCTTCAATCTCTTTCTTTATAAATGCATCTATTCTGTCTCACTTTACTCTATAGCAGGGCAGGGTGATATATCAGATAGAACCACCATTGTTAACATAGTGATGATTATAATGCACTTTTTATTTGGCCATTAAACTGCACCAGTAGGCCAGATTTGCTCCATGTCATGACTACAAGACATTTTAATGACTATTTCATATTTTACCAGCATCTAATGATGATGGTTCTTTTACGTCATGATGATTTGGTATCATAATGATGATGCTTCTTTTTTCTTTCCAAGTTTGGGAACAAAAAAGGTTTTAGTGAATTAAATATAATGATATCACAAAGACTGGATACTACATAACCATACAAGTTAATATATATATATATATATATATATATATATATATATATATATATATATATATATATATATATCCTGCAAAGAACTGCATGACATCCTCCATGACATCAACTCCAAGCCATTTCTTCATACCAAACTCACACAAAAATGCAGTTTTCACCATCTGTGTTGACAGTTCATTATTTATGTGATGAGCTTCAGTGTTGTAAAGTGAGGGGCCCAAATTAGGAAGAGCCACTCAAAACAATTCAACTCAAATAAATGCTGTTGATGTTGTAAGCAGGAAGCAGCCTCATTGTAAAACTTGATGCCACCATTAAGTATTTCCTTAGCCCGCAGAATAACACAGAACAACAATCAGAGAAAAACATAGCCTCTTAAAAGCAGATACTCACATCTATTCAAGAAGGTCTCGATGTTCTTATTTTTACGCAAGGCCGGAAAGTCCAAATCTAAAACCAGGGCATTCATGGAATCCTGAAACACAAAGACAAACACTTTGAGTAACGCATTAAAATAACGGTCTCCTTGCAAATAGCATTTATTCAAAGCGAACATGTCTGTGTTTTTCTTACACAACCTTTGAAAATTTGTGAAGCAAATTATCTAGTTTTTTTAGTCATTTCTAATTCCATTAATTTTTACAATACTTTTCATTAATGTCAACCTTTGTCAAAACCTGTTTGCCACCCATTTTTACCACATCATTATAAACGTAAACTTTTTTTTGGTGCCAATTTTCTGGCAAAAGTACTGCTGGCATCCTATACGATATAAAAGTCAATAAAGGTCCGATCAAATAAACTGCTACGAAAGGCCAGTGTAGAAGAATTGCTCTTAGAAGTATGATCTTAATTCATATCTTTCCTTAATTCTAAACATAATGTTTTAATGATAAAATCACATGTGCTCTGGATGCATGCATATAAACTTTTGTCACAACCACTCCACACAACAGAAAAATGTCAGAGAATCAGAACCAGTAAATAAAATGAGAAGCAATTCATGTAAATAATTGTAGCCAAGCAATTTAACAATTTAATCTAATCCCATCTGGTTTCTGTTTTGGAAATGTTTATTTGTCTGGGGGGGGGGAAACAAATGTTAAGCGATATCTCTTTTACTTAAACCCTGAGTGGAATGAGTTACAGGCATATTTCAAGGACAGGAAGTTTAATGGCTAGGCAGAACTTCCAGCCTGAAGAAATTAAGATTGATAAATCAGCAAGGCTTTACACTCAGTAGATAATAAAAGAACATTCACTTCTCTTGATGAAGCGTGATCTGACAAGTCATTCATCATTTTTTTTTTATTACAGCCTTTGTTACCCAGAGCACACTTCACCTTTTTTGGGCATCTAGATGATGTTCTGCCCTGAGGGAATGCAGCGTATAATGAACGGAAATGCATTTAAAACAATTAAGCAGACATTGAGGCCACCAGGCCCATGGATTTGTTCCTGCACATGCAGACTGAGGTGATGGCTGGCGGTTTCGGCACTGCTGCGCTTGTAAAGCGCTTTGAAGCAAGACCAGGTCTGTTGTGACCGACATACCAGGCATGGTCTCGCTGGAAACCCTTACCGGAAAAGCATTCAGAATGTCCAGCAGCCACACCTCTCCCCCTCCTCTCCCCTTTTCACTCCCTCTCCTGCCCTGCCTTCAACTTCCAAAAGTTCTCTACCCTTTACTGCACAATATGAAATCTTTATGGACACAAATCTTCAATCTCTTTCTTTATAAATGCATCTATTCTGTCTCACTTTACTCTATAGCAGGGCAGGGTGATATATCAGATAGAACCACCATTGTTAACATAGTGATGATTATAATGCACTTTTTATTTGGCCATTAAACTGCACCAGTAGGCCAGATTTGCTCCATGTCATGACTACAAGACATTTTAATGACTATTTCATATTTTACCAGCATCTAATGATGATGGTTCTTTTACGTCATGATGATTTGGTATCATAATGATGATGCTTCTTTTTTCTTTCCAAGTTTGGGAACAAAAAAGGTTTTAGTGAATTAAATATAATGATATCACAAAGACTGGATACTACATAACCATACAAGTTAATATATATATATATATATATATATATATA